TCAAGGAAAAAATAAGTGCTAAATACTATTCCCCTGGATGACATGCTTAAGATCTTGTAGACTTGACTACTGAAACCTCACAACAATTTTCTTTTGACTTGACAAAGTATGCAAAATGCATGTAAGATAAAACTAGCTTTACATACTTGAAAAGAAGACTTTAATAGCATTGTTGTATAAGGTGTTTGCCAATTCAAGTGGGTCTTCTTCTCTTACTGTTGCCATTATCTCCAGTACTTGACTAAAAAGAGAAAGATTTCATATTTTGAGTAATATTAGTACTGTTTATAGCATGTACATAATTAACTCTTCCAATCATTTGGAGTAATTTAGTTATTAAGAAACCAAGAAGGGAAGGATACTTCTAGTGAAAGGCTTTATCATTACTTCTGTTAGACCCCTTAAAGTTGCCCCCTGCTGCTCAGTGGTGTAGACTCATGTTTTGGCTTGAATTTTACTTAAACAGGGACTAATTAAACAGTCTTACATCCCAATGAAAATGTGATTCTGTTGATTGTCCTTCTAAATGACCTTACTCTGCGTGTGACAGTTCTACCAGCCTCCCTTTTGGGATAAGTGAAGTAGATACCCCCTGTGGAAGTAAATATCTTAATTTATGTTGAGTATAGTTGATTCACTGGCTCAGAGACTGTTCATTCCTGTTTGTGATCCAAACTGAAGTTCTAGTAGAAATACCTTCAAAGAGCAATATTGGTGCTCATACATTTATCCTGCGATTACAAGCTGTAGCTATAAAAAGAAATCTAACTCACAGAGACCCAACCTTCACTAGCTGAACTATACCATTAAAGGCCTGTAGTCCGACCATGTTTTTTGGCAGTATCTCACTCTTCTATGTTTATGGCCATAACTTTGTCTCTTAAATAGTTAAGGCATCTTCATTTCCACTTACCACATTTCAACTTAAGTAAAGTTAAAGCCACACTGAAGTAGCCAATTTAATATTTGGTCTTTATCAGTTTACAGCTGACTAATATACAGGATATAAGTTTGCTGAATGCTATATGATGATATTAAAGGACCACTGACTTCAAAGCAACAGTTTAAGCCAAGTCTTGTACCTCTTGTTACAATTAAATGACTACTATTACTGAAATTAAATGTTTTTTCTAATATCTGCTTCAGCTATAATTAAAGTGCATCTGTCTCTTATAATACTCTGGATGGAAGCTTATGCTGTCCCCCAGGATGTGTAAATAGGAGGTTTAACAGTAAAAAACGCAAAGGTGCAACAGTAGAGCATCTGCATGCAACCAGGGAAAGATGGGCCCTACAAGACAGCATGCACAGGGAGCAGAAGAGATCTTTACAAATTATATGCATAATGATACATAACGGTCATAAAAAAACATTTCAGCCAGTCAGAAATCACTGATATTCCCTGAAGGTTTCATGCTGCTTTTATGTTCTTTTTTTTTTCAAAATGTAAAATACATGAAGTTCAGAGACTCCTCTAAAACAGCAGCTGGAAACCTTTTTTTTCAGGCCACAGGCTGGAATGACTCGAGTCAGGTTGGGGGAAGAAGGCAAGTGCTAGGTAGGACTGATCCGTGGCTGCTTCTGCCCATGGTGATACGGGGAAAGTACCTGTTGCCAAAGCCTGTGTCTACAGACCCTAGGCTACCCCAACCTCTGCTATAAACTTAGTATTCATAGTTTCTGTAACTAATGTTGTCTTTTCAACCTATGATCAACCCACACTTTTTCAGAAGCCTTTAAGTGGTGCTGATTTTTATGGAGGGTGAATCCCTTTGTACCTAAAGAAACTATGCTGTGGGTTACCTGCCAAATTCTTAAGATTATTTACTAGTTGCATCCAAAAGTTTTAAAAGGTTGTCTTTAAAAAGGTAAATTTATGTAACCTTTCATAGAAGGAAGCAAAAAAGCAGAGGCTGTTTTCTGACCAGGTAAACCGATTTCACGTTTGGTTTGGTTACACATGTATTTATGTTTTTGCAAACTTGTTGCTGGGCTGAAATTGAATTAAAGTCATTTATAACACAAGGAGAGCTTTTCATTTAATTTTTTGTGCTGGTGAATGGAAGCATCTAATATGTCAGCCAGGCTTTAACAATGGGACCAAATTTCAGGTTTCTGATATTCAGTGATGATAATTTTTAAAACAATCCCCTATTCAACTAGAACAAGAGATTCATTTGCTATTTTTTTCCATTCATGCAAGTTTCACAGGAGAGAAGTCCACAAGCACCTGAAGAGTTTTCCCTCGTTTGAGGCATTCGTGTTCATCTTCAATCCTCCCAGTCAAACTTGATTTACTGCCCTTAGTCTGTGGTTGGTTTTTTGCTTTTTACACGCAGAATGGAGCTGCTGTGATCCTAGTAAGTTTTAGATGGCTGCTGATCCGCAGGTTACAGATACACCAGCCTGCTGGCAGGTTCTGAAATGGGCTTAGAGAAACATAAGCTATTCCTGCCTACTGCGTGTCATGCCGCTCCCTCTTCTTCCAAAGGTATGACGAATGTGCCTCATGGCACACCTATTGTAAACACTGCCACAGCTGGAGCAGCAAAGAGGCTGATGGTAGTTGGGTTCTTAGTTCTGTTTGGGTAATGCTATAGGATGGGTCACCAACATTTTGCAGTGAGGTATGCTTGAATTGACCTTCCAAGCACAGGCTGCTTCCAACCCAGCCCACCCGCAGTCACCATTGTCTGTCACAGTGCTGCCACGTCCCCCTGCTGCCTGGCTGTCACACCAGAGAACTCCACTGCATTCATAATGCCACAGAAGCCTCACAGCTCTGTGGGCCACAGGTTGCCAAACCCCTGCATATAGGCAAATTTTTTATTTTGGTGAGGAAATTTTAAGTTAGGGGAAGGAATGCACAAGGCTACAAGATAAAGACTTAATAGCAAGGGCCTGGGGTTTTCAGTGGTTTTAAGCATTCACTATTGCTGAAGCTCAGAACCTTTGCAAATAAGCTGCTTACGCAATTGGTGAAATACAGCAAAAGCTTTGTTATCCAGCACCCATGGGAAATGGGGGGTGCTGGATAACCAAATATGCCAGTTACCAGAGAGGCCCGAACAGGCATCTTTGCCTTTTCGGGCCGCTGCACCTCCCTGGCATCAGTGGGACAGGGGGCAGGGCCCCATGCAGGCTGCTATGCCCTGGGCCGTGGGGGCTCGGCCGCGCAGGCTGCTTTGTCCCAGGCTGTGGGGGCTTGGTGAAACTGGAAGTGCCACGGTGGGCACTTCCAGTTTCACTTTTGCCAAATTAACCGGCATGCCGGTTAATGGAACGTGCCGGTTTGTAAGATGCTGGATAACGTGGCTTTTGCTGTATATCTTTACTCTAGATTCAATAACCTCATTAACGTTAAGCCTCCTAAATTCAATATAGATAAACCTTCTTCAAAACTCTTTAAAACGTAAAAACGATGCACTTACATTATATGGCAGGGTTCATTTCTGTCCTTCAAGCAGTGTCCTATTTCCCACTTCTTTTTTGTGGGAAATGTAGTTTTTATAAACTTTGATCCAGCATGAGTATTTTTTATTCCACACCATGGGGCATCTAGTTAAATCAAAGGTATTAAAAAGCAATGAAATCATTTGGTAATTGCATGTAATTGTTAACTCTACTGTCAATTAATACAGTTCCTCCTTCCATAGGAAGGCTTCTGAGGGCTTCAGTCTAAGTGCACTCCCCTCCCCACTCCCCTCCTCCTCCCACAGCAATGGTATGATTAAAAGACAGATATTTCTTGTTAGTAATGTTCTAATTAAACTCATTCTAGCTTCTCATCCCATCTTATATTTTCTACATTTGTAATATATTAAAAAATCATCCACTCTACCTAGCGGTAATGTAATGGAAAAAATAAGAGAATTGCTATGATGAGGGCTGCTAGTAAACAATACACTATATATGGCCCAAGGTGGTGTATGTACATGTTATACAATGCTGTTGGAGATAAGAATCCCTGACTAAATTCCCATGTTTCATTTCAAATCTTGGCGGGGGAGGAGGGAAATGGGGAATCAAATTTACTGTCAACTGAGTCCTATGAGAATCCATATTTAATGGTTCTGTTCACAGAAATGTGAACAGACATAACATCTGCTAGAAGGCCAATTTAAAATCACAGTTGATTATTCCAGGAGGTATTTTTCAGGCCTTTTTCATGTTGTTTTACTTAATTACATGCAATTTCTTGTTATGTATCATAGTGTGGTGCTATTATTGCCAAATGGGAGGGGCTTAATTAAAATCTTTAGCATAACATACATTTGGCATATCTAAACAGGGCCACACTTTTTAAAGGTACCTGGGAAGGTACAAGGCATCCAAGTGTCAGCCATTTTTATCTCGCACACATTTACTCATTCACCAAGCTCAGGATTTGATAAGGTAGCCTATGCTTCTTCTAGCAGAAGACAGCTGGAGCCTCTTATTGAGCACTGAATCAGGCGGAAGGCTTTTTGGACAAGAGAATAATTTCATATTCCTGGCCCTTGTTGCCATGGCACATTTGTGTCTCAAATCTGTTCTCTGTACCTACCGCAAAACAAGAAAACCCTAATATCTAATAGGTTTTAAATTGTGATCTAGTATTAAAGCAAGATGCAGTACAATCCATCTGGACAGCAACTTACCTGTCTCGATCATTAATCTTTCACTAGGAATTGATTTCAGCGTTTCTAAGTTGGCTTCTGTTTTCAATGAACTATAAGATCATAGAAATAAGGAGTAAATTTGGATTTAAAATCACTATATTTTAATACTGTGACTGTTCAAACTACACTTAAGCTTATACATGGCTGGAGTTGTTCTCTCAGAGTCTCAAAAAGACTCATCATTTTTAGAAACTAGCTACCATGTTGGTTGACTGCTTTATAATTATTTTGCTCACAGAAACTGTTTTCTAGCAAAAGTGGTTTCTTAAATTTACTTAATAATGTGCAGCTATTATTTGCTTTAACTTGCATAAAAGCTCTTAATTGTGAACTCCAGACACTTGCTAAAAGTGGCAACCCTAGGAAGGCCAAGGGGGGTTGTACACCGTGCCAATCCTTCTTCTAGAAACTCACAATCACTCAGACCTGGTAAAACACATGGAAGCCTCTGCAGGGTTTCACTTGGCTCCGTCTAGCAAAACAAACTGAAGGCAGCTTGAGCCCAGATACATTTAACATTTCGGTCTCAATCAGATGAATATTATGGTTTCTGCCCAACCATTGGTAGGACCAGGTGATCAGATTACTTGTGGACTAGGTCAGGTGGTTTACAGGTGGATATTTAGTTTCCTCCAAAATACCAGCACTTCCAGCAATCAACAGCCTCCTTTATGTACACATAGCAGCATGAAAGAAGGGGTCAAGGCATTACCTCAATGAACTACTGGGAAATGTACAGTATTTGACAAAATACCTTTTGGCAGCTAACAGATTTACTTTAATAAGTGCATGTCTAAATGAGCATACAGATGATCATGAAGACTCTAACAAGCACTGAAGACTTAACCATATTTTTTTAAAAGGCATTACAGTTCAACAGATATGACATTTTAAAAGCAGTTTCATTTGAAACGAACTTACCAACCATTTATACCAATATAGAGATCCAAATCAATTATAGCAGCTGCTTCTTCCTTTGTGCCATCAAATGAATGTACCTAGAAAAATGTTTATATATTTTATCATGTGAGAAAAACCTGTAATCCAAAAGGAAGATACGGTTTCTCAGTGTAATATAAAAACCATGACGATGCATAATTATACGTAAGTGGATTACACAGTCAATGTGGCTTAGTTGATAGTACTTCTGCTTTTGGGCAAGAAAGTCACAGGATGAATTTGCCAGAATTGGGGGTCAAACACTAGGCTGAAGACAGAACATGACAGATTAACAGTGTTAGTGTCTGTAAATGTGCTGAGGAAAGGCCTGCCTGGCTTGCCTCTCTCTTTTAGCTGAGGATTTTGGTTATAAACTAAAAACAACATGAAAGAGGCTTTTAAAAAATAATTAAAAAAAATTTCTCTCTCTACTAGCTAGTAATGCAGGACCTGAATTCCTGCAGGTACTGACTCATGGAAAATTACATCCAGGCACAGTTTGGAGAAATGAACAAATGCAACAAATGGAAAGTTAAAAATGAAGATGTATAAAGTTCTACCACAAAGCTTGCAGCTTGTCAAGTAACTGCTGATGAGCATTTCCTTCCAAAAATCTCTTAGGCAGTAGTGATGGTAAGGGCAATGATGAGCAGGGATTGGGTTTTCCATTTCAGATGGAAAAACAGAGTAAAACGCAGATTTCTCATTTTAGTAGAGAAACCCACAGCTGTTGCAGTTTTGCAACAAGCCCTTTGCAGGCTGGCAGAGTGCACATGCACGTGGCTGCAAGGCAGCCTGGACAGCAGCTCCCACAGGCAAGTTGGGGGTGGGATTGAGGTCCTCCTAAGGACGGAGGAAGGGAGAGAGTTGGGCAGGGCTGGGTATCCTGCCCAGCTGGGCACTGCATGGGGCTTGGGGCCCAGGACCACAATGCGTGACTCAAGGGCCCCAATGGGGAGCAGGAAGGGGCTGCAGGCGGCTCATCTTGGGGGCAAGGGGGTCAACTCCCCACCGCTGCATGCACTCCCAGGCAAAGAGTGGTGGCTCACACCCCCAGATCTGTGTGCAAGGTGGGCACAAGCTGCGCGCTCAGGCTCCCGCCCTGCAGCCCACCCCACAATGTGTGTGACCAGGCACTGTATGGCAGAGTGTGGCTGTGCAGGAAGGCTGCTTGCCACTGTGAGCTCTGAGCTGCTCTGGTGATGTGTTTCCCATGCCCAAACCCATGCCGCTGCTCCCAGTCATGCAGAGGAAGTGTGGCCAGGGCAGCACGGAGCTCGCAGTGGCAAGCAGCTATCCTGCGTGGCCAGATCGCACATGCTGCGCTGCAGAGGCCCCAGGGGAGGGCAGCAGGGCAGAAGCCCAACTGTGCAGCCTGCACCCACCCAGCGCACAGATCTGGGGAGCCATGGGTCCCTCTGGCCCCACCAGAAGCATGTGTAGTAGCAGGGAGCCAGCCCCCCTACCCAAGCCTGCAGCAGGTGGGGAGCTAGGCTCTGCTCCTTTCTAGCAGCCACCACCTCCTGCCAAGGGCAGGGGACTGCAGACCCAAGTCCCTGGCACCAGAGCCGTGGCAACTGGGGGCCCCCTCCAGCAGGACCAGAGGCAGTTGGACTGTGGGGGCCTTTAATTTTAATCAAAGATTTTGGGGTTTTATTAGAGAATTTGCATTTTTTTTTAATCAAGGAAAACCAGGATCCCTGATGATGAGACAGGTCTGGAGTTATGCAAACATAAACCTTACTTTAAAAGTCTGACTATTTTTAGTGGAATGGTGTCTCAGCACCTGGTGTCTAAAACATGCTCTGCTTATGTTTTTAGCACTTTACTCTTATATACAGCTCAGATTTTTGTTAGGTTTCAGGTTGTGGGCAGGATTTGTATAACCTTTGGGATGACCACAGCTATAGAAACTGCAGAGCTGGGAAAGGGCCAGCATATGGTAGAAGGTACTTAAGCTGCACTTTTGCCAAGCCAAAGAAAACTGCTACTGTCAGCAAAGAGTCTCTCTCTCCCTGACCTATCCTTTTATCTTGCAAGAAATTGTTGGATAAGCAATAGGAGGAATAAAAAAAGTGAAAGGGCTTGAGAACCTGTTATTAACTTGACGTGTTTTAATGGTGTATCAGGAAATCCAATTAGATTATATCATGAACAATAAGTTACAAGGGGCCAGTACTGAAAATAATCTAAAAATATTAGATTGAATATAGTTTAGAAGGTTAGTTCATACTTACCACTCCTCCCACACACCTATCTCTGTTTCTTCTCATTATGTCTGTGAATTAAAAAGGAACATTAGCAAAACTGCTTGACAGAGGGCCAGTGAAAACATGTTTTTCCCCTCAGAATTAGTCTTTGGCATTACTTTAAAACTGTGAGTGAAACCCACCTAAAAATTCAGTATGTGAATTTCTACAATGGAGAAACACTGGTAATTTTGTTTGTTCTGACAGGTCAAATTGTTTTTCAAAGTATCTGTAAGAAAAAAAAATACAAAAATGTAGTGCAAGGCTGAATAAATAGCTTAAGTGATATAACAGCAGAATGGAGTTGTTATGCATATACATTCTTATCCACAAGAATCAAGACAAAATGGTTCTCTCTCAGACATTTTTACCTGTGCAACAACTGGGCTTTGCTGGGGCAGCTTAATACATTAAGTGATCTATTTTGGAAATCAGATAAGTAGTAATCAGGACTTTATGTTGGCCAGCTAATAAACTGGAAGATGACTCCTTTTTACCTTTTTGCCCCTGCCACCCCCAGGTTTTGTTTTTCTTTACTTTTTTTTTTTTAATTTTGGCAAACAGAACTAAATTTCCTTTAGGGAACTTTTAAACCCTAAAAAAACTTTAGGATTAAATTTAGCACAGTTGTGGCAATTCTTCCCAAAATTTCAGGAATCGGTAAGGAGAGAGATTATGAGGGTAACACTGGCCCAACGAACCATCAGAGAGTAAATGTGGTTTACTAAATGCGTGGAAAGTATTCCCCTACACGTTGCAAAAAACTAAAACCAAGTAGCAAATATGACATTTGTACAGCACAGTCATCCTGGAAATACCCAGAAAGTATTTTAGTAGATCTTTCTATCTCACACTTTTCAGTTACAAAATAGGGTCCCAATGTTAGAATGAATTCTTTTTGCCTCTGCCTGTCCAAAATCTCTCTAGATATTCCATTATTTATCTCCCGTCTTCCTTGTTGCATGCGTCTGTATGTCTCATCTTTCTAGATTGCCTTTTATCTCTACTATTCCCCTTCCTTGAGGGATAAAAGGTTGATAGAGAAGGGTCTTATAGAAAAGTACAAAAAGGGTGGCAAAGAGAAACCAGCTAGGGTGCTGGTTTCCTGATACTCATTTGAAAGGAAACCGATTAGTAGTTCAACAACCTTGTCAGTTTCCATTTGCAGCTAACTCCGTCTCTAGAGTACTGCAATCAACCATATTTGCTTGGTTGTCTGCCATACTGCACCCAGACAAGGCACATTACAACCACTCAGGAAATACAGTAGAGGTACTTATGGTTGGCAGATGGCCAGCAATGCACAAATAAATCTGAAGAATAACATTAATTGTACAAGGCTGGACAAAGTTGCCTGTTCAGCAAATCAATGCTAACAGCATTTATTGGATTTCTTTACATTTCGTTGTTAAAAACTGGACGGAGCACTGGATCATCAAGGTCTTCCTTTTAGAGGAAAGATTCAGTGTCCACCTGTAGCTGCATACGATTCGTAGGCTTGGGGTGGAATGGAAAAAGGTTAAGGTTAATAGATGCTTAGTTTAATGCTCATCTTTAGAGCACATAGAATGGAGGAAAAGTAGATGCAACAACTGCAAAGGTAGAGATATTGGCAGCACTGCAGAACCAGAATCAAGGGACAGTCTCTCCATATCTACCTCTGCCCAAGAGAGGAAAAAAGACAAATAAAAATTACAAGAGCTATTAAAAAAAAAATGAAGCCACGCCAACTATTTAAATACAAAAGCCATGATAGCCACCAACCAAATTGTTTTTTAACAAAATAATATAAACGAACAGAAACACAATATCCAGATTATAGAAAAAGGAAATCCATCATTCACATTTAAACAAGTTAAATCTAAGTCATACCCTTGAATCTTCATGCCAATTGTTATCTTTTTACAATCAGAACTTTGTCTTTTTTTAAAAATGTTTCTCTCCCTTTCTTTCTCAAGTGGAAGACACCCCCAGACACATCCAAAACACAGAAAAGCTAACTGACTACTCATAAAAGAGAAACAACAAAGTGATTAATTAGAAAGGGGTGTGTGAAATGTACAAAGCAAGCCAACTGGGGAAAAAAATGAAAAAGGTTTCTCTCCAATGTTTTTTGTTATGTTAATCATCAATACATTTGAAATCCCAGCAGATATACATTCAGTGATAGTTAAATTGATATTCCCTTTTCATTTCATATTTTAAAATGAAGTCAGCATTTGTGAAAGATTCTAGACTGACATCAACCACTCACATATTAATGAAGGTATGCACAACCCAAAGTGTCAGCAAAAAATGTTTCCCTTGGACTGCATCTCAGAGCACTGAATGGGTGTGTGGGTGGAGTCAATGCCTCCAAAACTTGGCTTTTCCCCATAGCCAGTAAATACAAATGAGAATGATTAGCTTGATATTAAAGGATCTTTGCCACCTCACATAATTTCTGATGCTGCAGTAGACGTACATACTACCAAACAGTACCAAATACTACCAAATCATAACGGCAGCATTACATACCTGCTTTGCACAGAAATAGATAACTATAGAACGAGCTAGATAAGAGAAGCAGTACTGAAGTGTTTAAGCTTACATTTACAGACAAACCCCTAAACCTGCCAAAACAAGCCGATGAGAAGCTAAGCATGTGTGTTAAGTATCAAAAGGCCTGAGCCACAGCTCTCTGAGGAACTAAAACAAATTAGAATCAATGATGTAAATGCTCTCCAAAGAAGCAATTCTGGATGTACATTCAGTATTGGATGTATCCAGCACCGGAAGTATCTCCAGATAAGTACAATATTTCTTCTCTTTGTATATACCTGGGTAGGGAAACTTCTGTCCTAGGAGTATTTGATCCATGCGAGTCCTGAGCAATATTATATTACGAAACATGATTTACAAGAAGTTGGAAAAACTGGGATTAGTTATTCTGGACAAGACTGAATGATTATTTGATACATCTTCAAGTACCTGAAGAGTGGTTATAAAGAACTCTGGACAGACTATTCTCTGTGATCACAGAAGACAGAGCAAGAAGTAAAAGTCTTAAATTACAATAAGGAAAATTGATGTTGGATATTAGGGAGAACTTTCTGAGTGGCTTAAACACTGAAAAAGACGACCTAGAGAGCTGCAGAGTATCCAGCCTTGGAAGTTTTTCACTGAAGACTGAACAAACACTTGGATGACATGATTCAGGCAGGGATGATCTTGCCTTGAGTAGGAGGGGTGGACTAAATGAACTCTGGAGGTCCCTTCCAGCCCCATTTTTCTATAATTTTATAGCAGAAGAGAAGTCTCTAGACTGGTATTACCAATTTATCCATAATGTGTCAAATCGCTGAACTGTCTAGATAGTATTTTCATCTGCAGAGAACTAGACATTACCTCTTATCATTTAAACCATTTCTACACTAGAATAGGTGAGAAAGTGGAAAGCCTGGTAGAAACCGGTCCTGGAGCAGCTTTACCAAAGGACTTTCATCCTGTCTGGATGTGCAAGCCAGGATAGAGAGTAGAACAGCCATCCTGTCATCTTCACAGGCAAATAACTGTCCACAAGGAACAAAGTTAAATATAACAGAAAAGAATGATTAGATGTTGGGTGGAGGTCAACTTCAGGTATTATTCACTAGGAAATCCCCACACTTTCTTATCTTACAGTATAACTGAGGGTGACTCTTTGGAACTATAAATGGCTAGCATAAGAATCTCAACTCCCACTATGCTGACAGCTGGCAAGTTTGCTGCACTCACTCCACCCTTTACCCTTAACATGTCAAAATATTAATAGCAGAAGTCTCCCACTAATCTGAAGGAGGTTTTGAAACTTCGAATGTAAGGTCTACCCAACACAGTGTTCATTTTATCTTTTGTTAATTGTGCAAACCAGATTTGCATAGGCAGTTATAACAAAGCTACCAGTGAAAGCAAAAATATATATGGAAATAAATAAGAAAAACGTACAAACCTAAAAATGAAGTGCATCTTTCCTTGGGGCTTTCCCCATTTTACATTTCTTTAATCCCTTATCTTTCTTGCCTTCTGTCTCTCTGAATCAGTACTTCCACCCATCTTCTTTTCTCTGATCTCCAGCAATGGTGGCAACTGGAGCCACTAGGAATTGGACTGACAAAATCAGCTTATTCCACACAACCCAATGCACAAGTGACAAAGTCTCTATTATTTGACACTACCAACCTAGGCCCAAAAGGAATCAACTGGTGACGTTTTCCCTGTTCTATTCTTCTTCCTTTTCTCTCCCACGTTAATTTAAATATGATTAGAGATTTCCTATAGCCTAGCAAAACTGAAGGTCAACAACTTTGTGTTAGTGAGCCTGCTGGCACAGGGCTGTGTTTTGATGTCAATGTACTGGGAAGGAACAACTGGACTCTGGCTCTACTGACGATTACGAAGCAGGCTCAGGATTTGCTTGGCAAACAGAATAATCTTCACTGACATCTTGCCTTCTCATTATACCAGTGTTTTATTGCACTGCAAAGGCTGGGTAGGGGTCCTCCAGATTGTACTTTACTGAATTCACTTCACTCTGGATTCTACTAGAAATCATAAAACGATAAAGAATTATTCTAGCCACTCTGTCTATCTTCTTACTACAGGAGGCTAAACCAGGAGCACAGTAATGCTGTAAACTAGAGATTAAAAGTTACAAACTAATACACCTTCTACAGTGGAAGCTATGCGAGATGGTGAGGGGAAAATATCCCAACCAATCACTCTATCACAGTGGTTGACAGGGGGTTTCCAGCTATTTAGAGCAGTGATAGTCAAGCATGATCCAACAATGGATCATTTTGTTTGCATTATCATTGTCTTTCCTCAACTACTTAATAGGCCATTTTCTGCCCTGAAAGCACAGCATAATTGAGATGCAGTGGCTGTATGCTTCCATTCCAACAATCCAGTACCTTCCCTGCTCCATATTCCATATCCCACTTATGACAAGCCACCTTTCCATCTTCCAGTTTTCTCTCACTTGTTTTTCCTGCCTGCACATCTCCCAAAGACCACCCTTGTCAATTAATTTCCCCCCTTCCAACTCCTGACTCCACCCCCTCTGACTATTCTGCTCCCTTCTACCTACCTCCCTTCCCAACAATGCAGATCCTACCTTGGGCAATACTGCAGGTTTCCCTCCCCACTGGAATTCCTGAGTGACCTTGAATTCAAGGGAATGCCTATCTATCCAGAAATCCCCAAATTCTGATCAATTCTACAGCAGAGGACATGCTGATTCAATGTGAGGTCATGTAGGAGTAGATCTGCACCAGAAAGTTCCTAACTGCTTGAATGTGGCTTTCTTTCCAGTAGTTGCTGGAAACTCTAAAAACATAAACCACTTAGATCAGGTACATTTTACACAGTGCAAGTTGCATAGTTACCAAATGCCACTTGCTACAATACATAATTAAAAATGCTTCTTTAAATTGATTGTAGGTTAATCTACAGTAATCTTTCTTACTTGAGCTGGGTGTCCTTAGGGCAAAATTCTAATCTATCAAAATCTACAAGAGGAAAAAAAAGAATAATTAATTAACTTTCCTTTTCAGTATGCAAAGGAAGAGAATAAACTTGAAGCAGTCTGATCATACTTACCTAGGCCACATTCCCCAACTGCTATGACCTTCCCCTTATTTTTTTCAACCAGATTTTGTAATTCAGCTAAATATTGGTCAGGGTCACTCTTCTCAAATTCTCCACAGCGAGTGGGATGACAGCCAACCGTACTGTAAAACATCTCTAATGTAAAACAGTTTTAAAAGATATTTTCAGGGACAGAATATATTTTTGTAAGTTACAGACATCATTTGTATTTTTTAGTTCCTAAAGAAACTTTCTCTCCTATTGTCCCTATGTTATCCGTCTAGTGAATTAATACCAATGATATATTCTACCTCAAGGACAGTAACATTTATCCAGAGGCTGTTCACTTAGACCAAGTGTAGTATCCGAACAATCTATTCCAAAACAGTAACTCATACTTTAGTTTTTACTTGGGTTAATTCTCAGACAAAAACAAAACTGGGGTTTACACACATCAGGTGACAATTGTTGCTTATGCTCTTGAATCAGCATCTAAATTTCTTCCTCTCACCTGCTCCAAACTCTGACACCTGCTGGAACAAAATCTCTGGGTCAGCCCCAAGCAACCCCTTACAGGTTGGAACTCTGCCACCCTGCAAGGGGAAACCTGCAGTTCCCCACATCTGTCTCTTTTAAATGACAAAATCTGCATTTTTCCATGACAAACGGAAAACCCAGATTCCTGGTAATCATAGATGCTACTTATTCCCCAGTGCAGTTATCCTAGCATAAGATTTTATGTTGTCTGTCCATTCCTTTGTAAGATAGTGTAAAGGTCAATTACTTTTATGTAAACTTGGTGTGTGCACAAATTCTCAGGTCAGTTAAAAATAATATATACTCTGCACTGTATGGCAGTGCAGCATGGGCAGTATATATTATACTAGCACATTAACCTACTCTTGGGAGAGGAGGCGTGAAGAAAAATTCCTCCTCCAAAAGCATCGTTCACTTGTCTAGAAACACAGAAACGGAAGACAAAGACTAATGCCCACCCAGACCCAAGCCGCCCTGAGATAACATCAAATAATACAATGTGGCCATGTGACCCCAAGATGATATTCCTTTTTTGAATCTGATAAGCCTGAGTTCTGCCAGCATTTTCAGGGGTAGATAATTTTACATGTCAATCATGATGGGGGGACTGAAAGTGATGCTACCCTGACTAGCTATTTAGCATATTAAGGCAAGGATACCATTTGTCTGTGCCAGCTGTAATGCATCTTTACTGTCTTGTAGACTTCCACCTGTAATCATAAACTGAAATGAAGAGAATACTGTCAGCATATACTTATTCAGCTTTGAGTTAATAGCAAACTAAGGGTATCAAAGGGCACTTAGATACCAGAAGGACAGGACTCACAAGAACCTAAACAGATAAAATACTAAGAGATATTTCCATTATACAGTAAAAGTTCTGTTATTTAGCATTTTACAAGCCGGCATGCTCCACTAACCAGCATGCCAGCTTGAAAGATAAAGTGAAACTGGAAGTGCCCACCATGGCACTTCTGGTTTCTCCGAGCCCCAATAGCTCGGGCCAAAGCAGCCTGCACTGCCAAGCTCCCACAGCCCGGGAGCATATCAGGTTGTGCGGGGCTGTGCGGAACCCACCTCCCTGTCCCGTAGGACCCACAGAGCCCCGCAGGAGCAGCAGCGATGCTATGGGAGGGGTGGAGGGACGCCCCAGACGCAGCGTGAGAAATGGCGGCTGGGGCCACTCAATTATCCAGCATATTTTGTTATCCGGCATCCCCCGAGAATGGGGGATGCCGGATAACAGAGCTTTTACTATAAATAAATTCATATTTTGGTAAATCATGCAAGTAGCTACTGAGTCATCGAGAGACATGATAATGAACTTACAGTGGACCAAATGGTGGATTCTGTTCAACAGAACATAAAGTGGATACCCATCTCGACTGTTGTTGTAAACCCAACATGTACAGTACCACTACTTATAACAATACTAACACCTTATATAGTGATTTTCACCTACAAAGACTTCTTCATGTCCAAATATGAGCATTATTAGTTACTTGCCCCACAAAGCTGCTGAGGAGCATATAATGCATGTACATAGCTTTTTAAGTGCTAAGAATTAAAATTATTCTTTGTTAATGATTGGATGGTAAGTTTTCCCGCATTCTTCAAAATTAGTTTTTCTTTAACTCTCCAAATGGCCTTTCAAACCCTTTCAGAAAATAGGTTTTTTTGCCAAACGTCTAAAAATGCTTGTTTCTCTAAAAGAGAAGCTTATCAGTATACTTCATTAACAGGGTAACATAATATGCAACTTGCATGATGCCACACATTTTATGTATATAAATATTTGCATCAGAATCATAAAAGTATGTTGGTCTGGGCTAACAGAGATAATCACAGAGTAAGCATTTCACAGGATGAAAAAAAGAACCCCCAACGTGCTCACATTAAGTTAGAGCAGAAAAGATGATTAAAACCGGGCACAACAAATTCTATACGCACGACACAAATAAACCTCTTAGAAAAAAATACCCTTAAACTTAAGTTTCAGAATCATCTAATTACTGTGCACAGGAAATGTAATGCTTTGTACAAGAGTATTTTGATTCCACCATAACAGAGGGATTTTGTAGCATTTTTATTAATACAAAACTTCAATAGAAAGTTGTTTCAGTATTTATAAAAATCCAGTTGAAAAGATTAGAGAAAAATCAGTAAAGCAGAAAGAAACGCACATATACATGATCTACAAGAGAAATTACCTTTTTAACACCAGTTTTGAGTGCTCTCTCTATTATGTCCAAAAAGTCATCTGCAAAAAATTACAAAAAAAATGGTAAATTTAAATCCACTTTTTGGAACATTATTTAATTTAATTATTTTAAACTACAGCAACTTTTGCACAGTCAATATTACATTTACTATAACATGAATAATCTTTGGACAGATGCAACTGATTAATGCTTAGGAAGACTGTGACAAGGGGCCGTCCCAGGGGGCCTATCTAGGGCAGTCCTCTTGCCTGACGCGCCTGCCACGCCTTTGTTGTACAGTACTGAAATAACTGTTTCTAGGCAGGAGACCCTGATTTAATGCCCTGATGCCAAGGGTGTAATACACGGTTCCGACCTACCATTTACCATGTCCCATGCCTTGCAGATGGCATTCAAAATCACTTCCGCTGTTACTCCTCTGGCCCCACTGCTGGACCACACTTGGCCTCTGGCTCAAACTTCGCCTCGGGTGTCCTCAGACTTACCTTGGCCACATGCCCCATCACTGGGGTCTCTACTCCCACATGCACTCTGGGCTCCTTGCCTCTCATTGGGCTCCTAGCCCCTCTCACACAGCCCCCTCACTGGGGTCACTACTTTGCCCCCTCACTGGGGCTGCGGGGCCTTATGCCCTGTGGGCCTCAGGTTTCTGTCAACGTGCCAGGACCTCACTCTCCTTCAGACCTCACACTAGGCCCCACTCTCATTTAGGCCTCGAGTCTTTCTGGCCCCTGTGTTGTTGCCCAAGCCTCACTCTCAGGCATTGGGCCTCAAGCCCTCCAGGCCTCCATGTTGTTGCCCAAGCCTCTTTCTCTCAGGCTTTGGGCATTCCAGGCCTCCATGCTGTTGCCCGAGCTTGCTGCTTTTCTCTCAGGGTGTGCTCCCCTATCCTTTCCCCTCCACAGGGTCACCGACAAGGAAGTGGGGGCTGAGGCTTTCCAGCGCCCCATACTTGCTGTTCACTAGGGAGGCACTGGTGTGGCATTACCTGAGGACTGCCTTGCCACACCATCCTCCCCAGCAGGGTATAGTTTCAGTTCATGCCCCAGAACCACTGCAGGCCGCCTGCCCTAGTCTTATCTCCACTCACTGGGCTCCTGGATGTTCTCCATGGGTTGCTCACTCCCAGGCACTCTGTTGCAGCCTCCTTCATAATCTCATAACCTTACTCTCAGCCACAGGCCCCAACTCTCTCAGGCCCCCTTGCAGGGCACCTCCCATCAAGAGGCTGGGCTTCAGCATGTCATACCAGCGTGCTGGCCAGCTGACCACCTATCCTCTCTTGGCAGTGATGTCCCTCCCATTGAAGGGACCTTCAGCCTCTTTTAGGCTCTGGCCCCTTCTCCAGGCCAGTTGAGGTGCCAGTAGCTCTCGTCAGCCCTAGCTTGCCCCTCGTGGTAGGCTTACTTGCCCTTTGACCTTTCAGCCCTGGCCCCCTTGCTTTGACCAACTGAGATTCCCTGGCATCAGTGTAGCAGCAGCTGACCTCCCTATTCATCAGGGGTCCCCCCTTGGGCCCCACCATGAAGCCATCAACTCCCACAGGCTTACCTAGAACCCTAGAGATCTTCTATCCGGCAGCCTTTCACTCCACTGGGCTCATCTGCGCCCCTGGCCTCATTTACAGCCAGTTCTAATCAGGGGCTTGCCCAGCCCTTCAGTAGCCCCCATTCTCTAAGCCCCTTTCCTAGTCTGGCCTAGCTCTCCTTAGGCTCACAGCCATTTCCTTGGGCTCTGGCACCCCACTAGGTCCCTAGGAACCTCCTCCTTCCCCATAGTGCCTATCCTCGACCTCCAGAACATCCTGGGAGCAGAAGTACTCCATTCAGATGTTCACCCTTTGGCCCCCCTAGCTGCAACTGCCAGCTCTACTCCTCAGGGCTTGCTTTTATTCTGAGGCTGCTCCAATCAGGCGGCCTCCTGGCTATCATGTCACTGCCTGATTGGCTCTGCAGTCACCTGCAGGCTGCCTCGCAGCTTGCTCAGGCCCTTAAAGTGGCAAACACCTGAAGGTGCACTGCCACAAAGACAAAAAGGTGGATGCAGTGCCTAAGGATGTGATACAAAGGCATGCCCAAGCTCACTTAAAGTAGTAGGCTCACCAGAGATTACTGACACCCTTCGGTAGCAGTACCACCCTTCGGTAGCTACATTGCTTCCTCTTTAGGAGTTAGCACATGCAAAGCAAACATGGTATTATAACCAAATAAAATGCATGGACCTCTAGTTTCTTTCTTGTCAAGCTTCTCTTCAGCTTCCCTAAATGTCTATGCATATTTAGTGAAAGATTTAAAAAAATGAAATGCTGCTTTTTCTCAACATATTAATTTTGTTTCAGTGGGAAATAAACACATTTTTTTTTCATTTTCCTCACTTTTTCCACTGGAGAATGAGGACATTTAAAAAAAAGTGAAGGTTGGACTTTTTCCTCACCAAAAGATAGAGAAAGAGGAAAGGATAAGAGGGAGGGATAGAGGGAGAGGCAAAGAAGTTGTGGGGCAGGTGGACAGAGAAAAAGAGATTTTCACTGATAAACATACAAAAGATCTAGAATCTCCAAAAACTAGTTAAAAGCTGAAAAACTGTGTTACACAATGTGATGTATTTTGATTAGGTGTCTTTAATATGACGATTAAATTAGGGAAATGACTGAAGATGGGAAATGACTTAGCGCAACAAGGGTGATGTTGCAGTGGGGGGCTGCTATAGACCATCAGACTAGGAAAAAGGCTTTCTTCAAACAGCTATTGGAAATTTCCCCAATTACAGGCCCTGGTTTTCATTGGGGACTTCAGTCAGGGTCAGCTGGGAGAGCAATATAGGCAATCCAGAAATATTTGGGGTGTTGGGGACAACTTCCTAGTGCAAGTGCTGGAGCAGCCAAGTAGGGATCATGCTCTTCTTGACCTGTTGCTCACAAACAGGAAAGAATTGGTGGGGAATGTAAGTAGATGGCAACTTGGGGAGCAGCGACTAAGAGATGATTGAGTTTTTGATCCTGAGGAAAGGAAGGATGGAGAGCAGCAGAATAAGGACTCTGGACTTCAGAAAAACAGACTTTAACTCGATCAGGGAACTCATGGGCAGGATCCCCTGAGAAGCCAGCCTGAGGAGGAGAGGAATCTAGATCAGCTGGCTATATTTTAAAGAAGCCCTACTGAGAGTACAGGAACAAACCATCCTGATGCACAGGAAGACTAGCAAGTATGGCAGAAGACCAGCTTAGCTTAGCAGGGAACTCTTCAGTAAACTAAATCACAGAAAGGAAGCTTGTAAGAAGTGGAAACTTGGGAAACCAACTAGGGAGGAATATAAGAGTGTTGCTTGGGCATGCAGGGATTAAGTCAGGAAGGCTAAAGCACAATTGGAGCTGCAGCTAGCAAGGGATGTGAAGGGTAACGAGAAGGGTTTCTACAAGTATGTCAGTAACAAGAGGAAGGTCAGGGAAAGTGTGGGTGTGTGTGAATGGGGGAGGCAACCTTGTGACAGAGAATGCAGAAAAAGCTGAAGTGCTCAATGTCTTTTCACTTCAGTTTTCTCAGGCAAGGTCAGCTCCCAGACTACTGCACCTGGCAGCACAATTTGGGGAGGAGGTAAGCAGCCAACAGTGGTGAAAGAAAAGGTTAGGGACTATTTAGAAAAGCTGGACATGTACAAGTCTATGGAGCCAGACGGGATGCACCCCAGGGTGCTGAGGGAGACTACAGAGCCACTGGCCCTTATCTCTGAAAACTTGTGGCAACTGGGGAAAGTGCTGGGCAATTGGACAAATGCAGATCTAGTGCCCATCTTTAAGAAATAGATGGAAAAGGGTCTGGGGAACTGAAGGCCGGTCACCCTCACCTTAGTCCCTGGAAAAAGCACAGAGTAAATCCGTAAGCAATCCATTTCTAAGCACTTGGAGAAGAAGGTGATTAGAAACAGTCAACATGGATTCACTGGGGCAAGTCATGCCTGACCAACCTGATTCCATTCTATTATGGTATAACTGGCTCTGTGGATGTGGACAGACTGCTGGATGTGGTTTACCTTGATTTGAGCAAGGCTTTTGATATGGACTCCCACAACATTCTTCCAGGCAGGCTAAGGAAGTTTGGGCTGGATGAATAGACTGTAAGGTAGATAGAAAACTGGCTGGAGCATCAGGCACAGAGGGTAGTAATCAATGGCTCCATGTCTAGTGGACAGCTGGTATCAAACGGAGTGCCCCAGGGGTTGGTCCTGGGGCGAGTTTTGTTCAATATCTTCATCAACAATCTGGAAGGTGGCACAGAGTGCACCTTCAGTAAGTCTGCAGATGACACCAAGCTGTGGGGAGAAGTAGATATGCTGGAGGGTAGGGCTAGGAGTCAGAGTGACCTAGGCAAATTGGAGGATTGGACCAAAATAAATCTCATGAGGTTCAACAAGGGCAAGTGCAAAGTTGTGCACTTAGGACAGAAGAATCCCATGTACCAGTACAGGCTGGGGACTGATTGGCTGGGCAGCAGCTCTGTAGAAAAGGACCTGGGGGTTACAGTGGACAATAAATTGAATATGAGCCAGCAGCGTTTCCTTGTTGCCAAGAAGGAATACTGGGCTGCATTGGTAGGAATGTCACCAGTAGTTCAAGGGAAGCAATTATTTGCCTCTTTTCAGCACTGGTGAGGCCACATCTGGAGTACTGTGTTTAGTTTTGGGCCCCCCACTATCGAAAGCACGTGGTCAAATTGGAGAGAGTTCAGTGAAGGGCAACAAAAATGGTTCGGGGGCTGGGGCACATGACTTCTGAGGACAGGGTGAGGGAACTGGGCATATTCAGTCTAGAGAAGATTGAGGGGGGATTTAATAGCAGCCTTCAACTACCTGAAGGGCAGTTCCAAAGATGATGAAGCTAGACTGTTCTAAGTGGTGGCAGATGACAAACAAGGAGCAATGGTCTCAAGTTGCAGCAAGGGAAGTTTAGGTTAGATATTAGAAGAATGTTCTCACTAGGAGGGTAGTAAAACACTGGAACAGGTTACCCAGACAGGTTGTGGACTCTTCATCCTTGGAGGTTTTTAAGACCTGACTAGACAAAACCTTGATCTAGTAGGTAGGGGATAGTCCTGCTTTGAGCAGGGGGTTGGACTAGATGACCTCCTTAGGTTCCTTCCAACTCTAATTTCTTATGATCCCTACACCACCAGAAGCAAGTACTCCTTACACCTGCAGAAGAGGATCACACTGCTGATGGGCCAACCAAGATTAAAAAAAAGAATGGGAGAAGCCCAGAGTAAAGAAATAGGCAAAATCTTGCTCAACTGGGACTTAAATTACTATAATAGTTTTCTGGACTTCAAGTCAGTACATTTTAAAGGACGTTAAAATTTCATCTCTAAAAATTGTTAACGTCCCCAACCTTGTTTGAAGAGGGAGGAAAAGAAAATGAATGCATGTACGAGAAATTCCTTTGCAGAAAAATATTAAATTAATGCTCACTGATACTATGAACCAGAAAATAACGCGTGTGGATAACGGTAAACTGGAAAGGGAGTAAAGATATAAAAAAAGAAATCTTGATTCATTAGCAATAAATATTTATCGATAGAGAAAGTATATTGCATCTTTCTTAGATAAAAAGAGACACAATCATTGTTACAAAAAGCTTACCGGGGGGGGGCAATTATTTCAGGTGGAGGGCTGCTTAACGAGTTTTGGTGAGCTGCCAAGGACCACCTGGGTGATCCCATCCCCTGACAGTTGCACCACCGTTTTGTCGCTATCTTGGGACCAGAAGTCCTGCCCCGTAACCCCTGACCTTTGCCACCGGACGTCCTTCCCATTGCCCCCCCCCGGAAGTACTGCTTCTGGGAGGTAGGGTACCATCTTAGAACCAGAAAATAACCAAATGATACACTAAAAGTCTAATACTTACTATAACATATTTAATTTTATTACAAAAAATATTTTTGTCATGATTTGGGTTTGCATGGAGTATATAAAGGCAATTGCATAATAACTGAAAAATACATTCTGAGTTTTGTATATTGTGGGGGGGGTATGGTGGGGTGTGTGTGTATGGTGGGTGTGGGTGCATATATGTGTGTGCGTGTGTGGTAAGATGGAGGTAGGGGGTTTGTGAGGGGGTGTGGCTATGTGTGTAGAGGGGCATAAGGTATGTTGGGAGGTTGCGTATGTGTTGGGGGTTGGGGAGGCAGGGTATGGGTCCTGGGGAGGGGTGTGGGGACTCCTCCACACTCTCCCCATGGCACGCAGCCCCAGCAGGCAGCAGCAGCAGGTGGGGTGCTCAAGGCACAGGTGCCTGGCAGGGTGCGGCTCTGGCCAACACTGCACATCACAGCAAGGAGTGCAGCCTCTGTTGATCCTCCTGTACTACTGGTGCTCCCTGCCACTCACGCGCAGACCCTGCATTTGCACAGCAGGGAGGGAAGCCCCACGGGGGAAGGACCCTGGGGCTTCCCTCCCCTGCAGCGCAGCCCCTGAGAGGAAGGCAGCTGGCTCCAGCACCTGAGACTTCTCTCCTGTGTTGCACAGCCCTGGCAGGAAAGGCAGCCAGCTCCAGCATGCGGGGCTTCCCTCCCCGCTGTGCAAGTGCAGGGGCTGCATGCGAGTGGCAGGGAACGCCAGCAATACAGGCCACTGCGCAGAGGCTGAGCCCCTCGCTGTGATGTGCAGTGCTGGCCGGAGCCGCACCCCACTGGGCACCTGTGCCCTGAGTTCCCCGCCTACTGCTGCTACAACTGCCTGCCAGGGCTGCACACCATGGGGGGAGTGTGGGAGGGTCCCCACACACCTCACTCTCCCTCACACCCACACACTGCCCACCCCAGCTCCATGCTGCTGCCACCCCCCCACCCCCCAGGGGCGGCGGCGGCGGCAGCAGCAGCAGCAGCAGGAGCCCTGCATGGAAGCTGTACGCTGGCCAGCTTCTGCCCAGGAGGGTGGGAGCCAGGCAAAAGGGTACATTTTGGGGCTGCGTGTACACGTGGGCACCTCACTCCCACCCTTGCAGGCAGAAGGGATGGGCAGGACACATTTGTTGGGGGGCCCCACAGGCAGGATGAAAGTGGTTGGCAGGCCAGATCCAGTCCACGGGACATATTCTGCCCACCTCTGGCTTAAAGTCTAAACCAGACAAACTATTGAGTCCAAACGCATAGGACAGGATCCTCAGCAAAAGGAAACCACATGTGTATGGTCTGTAAGATTGTTACCTGTTGCAAACTGCACTAATTCACCTCAATGGAAATAGGTTAATTCATACCTGGCCCAAAGAAAACAAAGGATACAGTTCTATGCTCAGAACCCCGGGCATAAATGAAGGAACCCTTGTTTAAAGATGTAGGTAAAGATTTCAGCTATTTAGTTCGGGTTTTTTTAACCATCTGAAAGTTTTATAGCACAAACAGATTTCAGCTAGAATGCGTCTTTTTAATTCTAGAGTGCATATCATATATCAGGCCCCATCTGAATAAAAATAGTACATTTTATTTACTTTATATAACCTCTGAAGGAAAAAAGATGAATGTGTCATAGTTGCTACTTAGGTAAGGAAACAGGCCCTTAGTCTAACACTGTTGCTAGATTCAAAGAAACATTTACCTTGATGTTTCTGTGTACCTCTGTAAATCCCTCTGAACATAGGGTCTGTCAAATTAATAGCGATATCTGTCAGGAGAAAAACAATGGAGATTAAGTTACTTGTTGTAGTCACACCCTCCACTTTAAAGGTATTCCCACTTTGAAGTAGTGGGTCTTTGTAACAGAGAGCTACGCTGGCAGTTGCATGGTGTAATTACCAGGAGGGTCTCCCGTGCCAAACAAGTTGAAGGGTAGAGACCAGACTAAGAGGAATACCCTGGTCTTCCAGGTTGGGGGTTGGGCATGAACGCAACCACTTTATCTCATGAAAAAAACCCATGTTATGAAACCAAAACTAAAGACTTGGACAAATACGAAATGTGGATCTTGGAACATTAGACGTTTGTGTATGCCTGGAGCTGTAGTTTGCCTATTAGCAGAGGTGGAACAGCGGAGCATGAATGTTGTCGCTATCCCAGAGGCAAGATGGTCTGGACACAGAAATGTTGTAATAACATAAAACTGATTCAGCAAGGACAGACAAAGACACAACAAGGTGGAAGGCAACTGCACAAGACAGGAAGAGATGGAAGAGATGGAAGGGCTAGAGCTATGGCTGTTATAGGCCCTCGAGGCCTGCAAGGCCAGAGAGGGAGCGCTCTTCACTGAAGGAAAGATTAGGGAATATGTATGTGTATTCACATGTGTGTGTGCGCGTGTGTGTACACACATGCATCCACATGTGTATGGACATACACACTTACATATACATATTATACATACATGTGCATATGTTGCCTACATGCTAGGTGCTCACTCTGGGTTAGGAAATAGCTTTTCTCTAGTCCCAGGCTATGTACTTGAACGGTGTTTCCCCAGAAGTATTTACCTACTAAATGTTACTCATGCTAATGTATGTCAATACTGAAGTTTTATAGGGTAGGAAGGCAAGGCCAGTCCATTTCTCCGTTCATCCCACTGAACATAACTTGTAGTGTAGCGGCTGCAACACCGAGCCCAAGGCTGTCCAGCGTATGTGTGGTCAGGCGCTGCACTGCCTGCTCCTACCCTCTGCCCCCCACATTGTGCAGACAACCCGCACTGCTTCCCCAGCCCTGTGGGCCGTGCCCTGCTCCCACACACATCCACACGTGTGCCTGCATGTCTACACGTACATATACAGGCAATCCTTGACGGATGGCACTTCAGACGTTTATAAATTAACACTCTGTTCCGACTTTCCGACATCAGTTTTGACTTTACAAAGCTTGATCCCATGCCAGCGACCAGGTTCGCTGCGTTGCCCATCTCCCTGGAGAACGTCTGTGCAAACTTCTTAGGACATTTTCTTTAAGAAAGCAGACGAGACTCCAGAAAAACCTGCAGCCAGGACTCCTGAGAGAGACTCCAGCCAGGAACCCTTCAAAAAGTCCAACTAAGAGCCCTTCAAAAAGTCCAGCAAAGTCACCTCAAAGACATCCTTCCAAATCAAAATGATTGCTATTTACAATATAAATACATTAATGTAGCTATATTACTCATCTATAATTGACTGAGTACAAAATTCTGGGTTATTTTTGTTGAAAATAGGGTATCGGGCCTTGGTTCAGGAACCGATCCCCCATCGGTAACACTGCTGCGATGGGAAAATCAGTTCCAAATTAACGACGTTTCGAATTAAGACACAGTTTTCAGGAACCAGTTGTGTTGTAAGTCCGAGGACTGCCTGTACACACGTGTGTGCACACACCTATACACACACGCATACCCCCTTACAGGTACACACACACACACATGTGCACCATACACACACACATATATGTATACCGGTGTACACACGTGTGCAGCATACACACACCTATACCTGCAAGTACCTATACACACGCGCACGTACACCATACACACACAGACACACATCCGTACATGCAGGTACCTATACATACAGGCATGCACCATATACACATCCGTACATGCAGGTACCTATACACACAGGCATGCACCATATACACATCCGTACATGCAGGTACCTATACACACACATCTATATATGCAGGCTTATATATACACACACATATGTGTGCACCATACACACATCTATACCTGCAGGTACACACACATGTACACAAAGTACACACGTGGCCACATGCACATCTCATCCACACCTGTACACGTACACACGCTGCAGGTCGTGCCCCGTCGCGGGCAGCCGCCCCCCGCACCCCATGCCCGGCC